GGCCGCGCTGGGCCCGCCGGCGTCGGGCCCGGGCCCAGGCATGCCCCGGTTGGATATGGCGGGGCCAACGCTGGTGCTGGTGCTGGCGCTGGCCCGAGAACGGAACGAGGACAGAGGGAGAAGCGCGGGTGTGATCGATATTATCAAGTTATTTAAACCTAAAAACAGAGCAGCGAAGAGGCAGGGGATAATAGAGCGGGCGGCGAGAGCGTTCAGGATGCCCGCGGGGCAACAGAAGGACTGGGCAGTGGGCACTGGCACTGGCACTGGCACTGGCAGCGGGCGGCGGCGCGGGCCAATCGCAGGCGTGCCGTGTCCGGATCCGCCCCCCAGCTGCCAGTGCCAAATTTAGATTCCGACGAGGATGAAGCCGTGCACGACGGAGGACAGGAGCGTCTGCGTGTGCGTGGGCATCGAGCTATTATATGCGGGAGCGCGGCTGCGTCGAAGCCTGCCTTGCATTGACCTCCAACTGTCGGCCCGTCGCCCGTCGCCCGTCACTTGCTGACTGATCCTGCAACGACGCCGGGCCCGGGGCAGACGGGGTCTCGAGCGGGCGCGGCGGGTGCAGACGGGGGACGGGGGACGGGGGACGGGGGACGGGGAAACGTCGGGGCGGACGGCGGGCAGTGGACACCGCACCGCACCCACCGCCACCGTGGCCGTGGCCGTGAGCGCGGGACACAAGACGGACGCGGGCTGTGTGGTGCGCCCGGCCCGGCCCGCCAGCTCCGGGCTCGGAGGCGATGCGATTAGATCACCCTCGCCCTCTGCACCGAAGCTGTCCCTCCGGCCCCAGTAAGCGGCGCCGTCTCCGTCTTCGCCATCGCGCTTGGCCCTCCCCCCTCCCCTCCCAGAGGTCCTGATTCGCGTGCGGCGATAACGCGCTAGCGCCGCGCGACTGGACGGCCGGCGACCTGCCTGCTTGCCTGGCGCTCGGCGAGACACTCCCAGCTTCCGCGATAGAGTCCGTCGCGCGGATCTGTCTGCACGCGGAGGCGCCGCGGGGCAGTGCAGCTTCGCGTCGCGGGCAGGCGAGGGCCCGGGCGAGGGAGCGCCTTGGCGTGCGCCGGCGACCTTGTCTGGCGCCGGGTTCGGGTTCGGGTTCTGGCGTTCTGCGTATGTAGAGGATTGGACTCGGAAGACGATGCCCATGGGGGAAGGGTGGCGGCGGCGGAGGCGCCGCCGCAGTGGCGGGCCTACCCCTCATCACTGGCCGGCCCCGGCCCCGGCGCCGGCGCCGGCCGGGCGTGCACGTGCCCCCCTTGCCACTTGCAGCGGCCTGGTGTTCGCAGCGGCGACCGAGGCCGCGGGGTCGCACGCCTGCCAGCGAACGCAATGTATACCGTATCGTATGCGCAACGCAATGTATGTATGCGGAATATTTGTATGCAGCACGGTGTTCGGGGTTTGTAATGGGTGGCAGGCCGGGGATGCGTGGAGAGTAGAGCTGGGCGGAACAGCGCAGCGCAGGCTGGGAGAGGATAGGGAGAGCAGCTGCCGGTGCCGTTGTCGGTGCGCTGTGGGCGACGTGCGCGGAGCGAAGCTGCTGCCTTCCCTCTATCTTACAGCACCCCCCCGCCCTCTGCACACAGCGGGGATAGCGCGGATAAACAGCACCCAGCGTGCGTGCGTGTGCACACACATAAACAGATTATCCGCGCCCGAGGCGGCGACGGGGATTCAGCCATATGCATCCGGGGCTCGCTTGGCCAGCCGTAAGCGCAAGCGAGCGCATGTCTAAGCGTCACCGTGGGCAGCTGCAATTGGGGGCGTGGCGACGGCGACGGCGACGGTGCGGGTCGCCGCCTCCCTCTCCCTCTCCTCCCCGTCGTCGTCGGCGCTGGTGCTGTTGCTGTTGCTGGTGCACGCGACGCACACCACACCGCGCCAGGACGCCTAGCCCAGGGAAGCCGCGTGCGCGTGCCTGTCGCATCCAACCGCATCGGGGGCGTCCATATCGGGACGGGCCCCGGGCGATCTAGGGTGGATCTGCGATCCTGATCGTCACACAGGTGACGCGTGACGGCAGCCACATGCCACGCAGGCGCGGGTGGGGATAAAAATGCGGGTGGGAACCAGCGTCGGTTGATTGCTCGCCCCCCCTACCCATCCCCTGCCTGCCTCCCCCGTTCCGTTGAGAGATATGGCGCAACCGCAACCGTATACGATGTCGCTGCCGTCCTCGCCCGCGGCGTCGCTGCTGTCGTCGTCCGCGTCGTGTGCGAGCCTGTGCAGCTCGCGGAGCACGGCGTCGGACGAGAGCAGCCTCGCGTCGGCCAGCTCGAGCTCGAGTGCGAGTGTGCTCCGCGCGAACGAGCACCTCGCTGTGCTGCTCCCCAAGGTCCGCTGGAAGGTACGCGTTCTTGCCACCCACCCCCCCTCCTGTTGACTAATATATTCGCCCCAGCCCGATAGTGATACCACGCACTGCGACAACTTCTCGTGCCGGATGGCGTTCACGCTCGTCGACCGGCGGCACCACTGCCGCAAGTGCGGCGGCGTCTTCTGCGGCGCGTGCTCCGCGCAGAAGACGCCCCTCCTCGACACGTCGCGCCTCGACTTCTTCCACCCGCCGCCCGGCGTGCCCCTCGAGCAGCTCGCGTCGCCCACCGCCCCGCTGCGCCCCGCGCGCGTCTGCTCCGACTGCTTCGCGCAGATCCACGGCCTCCGGGCGCCCCCGCCCGCCGCCGCCGCCGCCTGCCGGCCGCCCCCCGCGCCGCCCCGCGTCCCTCCTCGCGTCCCCCATCGCGTTCTTCACGTCCCCCGCGCCGTCCGCGCCGTCCTCGCCCTCCATCGTCCCCCGCAGCGCGTCCCCCGCGCCCTCCGCCGACCTCGGCCCGTCCCTCTCCCGCTCCGCCTCCTCCCTCCCCCGCCCGCACCCGCACCCGCGCCGCGCGCCCCTCGTGCGCACCGCGAGCCTGCCGTACCCCGCCGCCCCCCCGCCGCCCGCGGCACCCGAGCCGAGCTACGGCGAGCTCGACGCGTACCCGCTGCGGCGCGCGAGCGCGCTGTGCAAGGCGGCGGGCGGCGGGCGGTGGGCGCCGGCGGACGCGCCCGAGGACCCCGGCGCGCGCGTGCCGGTGATCGGGGGGCGCGCGCCGTACGAGCTCGAGATGGAGCGCGAGGAGGCGGAGGAGCGGCGGCGGCGGGAGTGCCCCGTGGTAAGGCACGGCGACTTCCAGTACCGCGTGGGGATGCGCGCGCCGCGGGAGGTCGTGCTGGAGCGCGTGCCGCTGCCGCTCGCGACGTTTTAGGCGTGGGGCGGGGGAGATATCGTTATTTGCTGTATATTCGCTGTTGCTCGATGTGCGCTGCTTGCCACTGTACCACCACCCCCGTACCATATCCCCCGCCTAGTACATACATACCGTGCCTGTTGCATGCATATTCTTTCTGCTTTTTTTTGGCTACCCTTGCGCTACCCCTGCCCCCGCGATATGTTGTGTAGAGTGTAGAGTTGTATATAGAGAGGAATGCGTATAGTGAAACGACAGTGGAAGTGTGTGCCCTACTTATATAGTGCGATCGGCGAGAATGACTCGGGTGGGCTCTGTCGGTCTGCCCACGATCGAGCGTCGAGTCGAGTCAGAGCGGGAGCATCTTGGGAAGCGAAGCGACGGGACCCTCCGGGATCGCTGCGACCAGCGCCGCGAGTGTGCGTACGCCGCGGGCCCGGGCTTGCTTGCTTGCCTCGCCTCGCGCGCGTATGCGGAGGTGCGCGTCCGCGTTTCGCGTTTCGCGTCCGCCTGCGCGTCCGCGATCGGGGGGTGGGTGGGTGGCTGGTGCTCGCGAATCACGCATCACGCATCAGGCATCAGGCGTGGGCATCACCCCTGCCGGGATCAGCGCAGCCGTCGCGCATCGCTGGTGGGACGAGCATCTGCGCAGTGTCACTGGAGGCGTGCGTGCGCATCACCGCGTCGTCTGGGTGGTAATGTATTTTTAGCGAGGGACGCGGAGCCGGTGGTTGTCGTGTGTATATTGTGTTGTACAGTATACTATTGGGTACGCCGGGCAGGGGCATGCGCACTGTGTGCACCCGCCCCCGGGCGCGGCGGCGTGTGTGGGAGTAGCACGTGGATCGATAATCCGGAGTGTAGAGTGTAGAGCGGAGAAGAGGGCAGTAAGCAGCACCCCGGGCCAAGGCTCGACAGACAGCGCATCGGCACCTCGATTTTGGGGATGCAGCGCGAGAAGCCCGCGCTGCGGTTGACACAGAACAGAAGCCGGCGCCGTGCTTTGTGGTGTCGTGGGCACCGGGCCCGGGCCGGGCGCCGCTGTCAGCCCCTCCACTGGCACTGCGGGCAGGGCAACGGGTGGTCGCGATTATCGGTATCGCGATATGCGCTCCGGTGCTCCGTGCTGTGGAGGATCGATGGGCCCGTGCCCGTGCACGGGCGCCGGTGTGGGCGTGCCACGGGGGTGGGGACACAAAGTGGAAACAAACACAAAAGATGTATCTACACAACCGCCCGCGTCGCAGGGCAAAAAATCACTGCACTGTGGTTTGGCCATGAGCATTAGGAGCAGCGACGACGACAGACTGTAACTTTGTATTTTATTTTATGAATCGGGAATAGTCCCGTGGAGCCAATCCTCCCCTTAAGTCGCCAGCGCGACCGTGACGCCCGTCGCCCCGTCGCCCCGTCGCCTCGCCGACCGTCGCCGTCGACAAGCCCCTGTCTCGCCTTAACCGCAGCCCGATTCGATTCGATTCCGGCGGGCTAGGCTAGTGCGCGCTAAAACACGTTGCGTTTCCTGCCGACCGGCCGACAGATGGCGCCACCCGCACCCGCACCCACCGGGCCCCGCCCGCCATGCGCGCCATGGCCATGGCCATGGCCAGGGGCCGCCCCTCGCGCTCGCGTTTGAGGGCGCGTTTGAGATCACCACCAGCACGCGCCACGCGCCAGCGATCGGGTCTGCGCGGGGATCAACCAGGGTGACGGTGACGGTGATCGTGATGGTGACGTGTCACGGGTCACACGAGAAAATTTTTCATCACCGCACCATACCACACCACCCACATGCGGATGCGGATGCTGCGACTCGCGCTGCGCGTGGTGCGCCCTGGGCCTGCCCGTGTGGGCGTACGACGGGCGACGACGACGGCGGTGCCCACCCCAGGAGCAGCGGCAGGGGCACCTCCGCCGCCGCCCACGACGACGACGACGACGACGAAAAGCAAGACGGCGTTAACGCCGCGCCCCGCCCACGTGCCCGCGCCGCCCAAGCACGGCCGGCGCACGCGCAAGGCGTCTTCCCGCCCGTCGCTCGCGTGGACGCCGCCCGCCCCGCGTGCCCAGCCCACGCCGCACGCGCTCGCCCGCGCCGCGCGCCGCCGGGCGCGGCTCGCGCGCGCGTTCGCGGCCCCGCAGAGCGCAAGGGTGCCGCGGTTTAGGGTGGGCTTCCACGTCGTACGACACGCGATGCCGCTCAGAAGAGGGCGGCGCGGGCGGCTGGGGCGGGAGGCAAGGAAGAGGCTGGAGGCGCGGGGCTTGTTGGAGAGCCGCCGGAATCGGAAGAGGACGGGAAGGGCGCGGGTCGGGATGGACGCGCCGCGGCGGTGGAACGCGCCGGTGCGCGCGGGGGTGCTGCCCGCGTACGACGAGGCGGTGCGGCTCATCCGCGCGGACGCGGGCGCGGTGCGGAGGGAGGCGCAGGCGCTGCGCGCGGAGCTCAGGGTGGCGGAGAAGGGAGGGGCGCGGGCGGCGGAGGTGGAGGGGATGCGGGAGCGGCTGCACGTGCTGGACGTGCAGAGCGAGGTGAACCTGCCCGAGGTGCGCTGGAGCGTCGCGAACGGGATGGGTGTGTCGTTTCCCTCTCCTCATCATCGCATCTGCTAAGAGAAAAAAACAGCGGACATGCGCATCCCGTCGCACCGCCACCTCGTCGAGCAGCGCTGGCGGAAGGAGGGCGACCTCGACCTGCTGATGGAGCGCCTGCACCAGATGCACGTGCTCCCGGACGTGCTCCCCGCGCTGCACCCGACCGTCGACCTGCGCCTCACCGCGCGGCTCATGCCGGCGCACTTCGCCGCGCTGATGCGGCGCAACCGCGCCGGCCGCGGCGTGAACACGTACAAGGAGGTCGTGCCGGGCAACTACCTCACGCCGAAGCAGACGATGGCGCCGCCGCGCGTGTACGCGAACGCGTTCCACACGGACGTGCGCCTGTACACGCTGCTCATGCTCGACGCGGACGTGCCCGACCCGCAGCACCGGACGTACACCACGTTCCTCCACTGGCTCAAGTGCGCCTCCTCTCCTCAGCTTATTTAATTACTAATTATATTTTTTTATTTTATGGAAGACCGAACATCCCGCTGTCGGCGACGCACGCGGGGCGGCTCGCGCACCTGAACAGCCACACGGCGTATATCCCCCCGCACCCGCAGCGCGGCACGCCGTACCACCGCTACGTCACGCTGCTCCTCCCGCAGCCGCCGCGGCCCGGCGCGCGCTACGACCGGGCGAGCGAGGCGGCCATGGCCGCGCAGCAGGCCGCGCTCGAGCAGCGGGGCGCGGCGGCGAAGGAGCGCGCGCGGCAAGTTGAGGCGGCGGTCGCGGAGGCGGCGTCGGCGCTCGGCCCGGCGGGCGGCGGCGGAAGGGGCCGGACGACGCGCCCGACGCACCCGAACGCGGCGCCGGAGGCGGAGCGGGAGCACGCGACGCTGTCGGCGCGGCTGGAGATCCCGGTCGTGCGCGACGCCGAGCGGCTGCGCTTCGACGTGCGCGCGTTCGTGAAACGGTGGGGGCTGGGCGATGGCGTGCGGGGCTTTGGCGGCGGGGCGCATATGTTCCGCGGGGTGTGGGATAGCCAAGTGGGCGCGGTGTATCGGTATAAGCTGCGTGAGTGGTTTTTTTTTTGTGAGGAGAAAAGGGAGCTGATGGTTTTTTTTTTTGCAGACGAGCCGCAGCCGCGGTATGGACGGGCGAACGTGAAGGAAGAGGAGGGGATGAAGGCGTAGACGGGGTGTTGGAGCCGAAATTTTTATTTTTGCGTCGTTTTCTCGTTTCGTTTTCTCGTTTTTACAATGCATGTTCGTCTAATGCCCAGCCCGCCCGATGCTGCCGGTGTATATTAATATTCTAGTTGGGCGCAGCGGTGGGCCCGGCGGCCCGGGGAGAGGCAGCTCGCTCGCACCGCGGCCGGCGCCGGCGTTGGCCCGGGACAGCGAGTGGCGGCGGGCCTTGAATGGAAGCACCCACCTCACGGCGGACAGCCTGAGCGCACTCGGCCTGTCTTGTCTTGTTATTGTGCGTGTCCTGTCTTCCCCGTGAACTGCAGATGCCGCGCGCAGCAAAGTCGACGTCGAAGCGGCGAGTCGCAGTGGCGTTAGACGGTGCCCCGCTCCGTGTCCGTGTCCGTGTATAGACGTCTTCTCCGTCTCTTGTTCTCTGTCGGGCGTGGGAGGCCGGCCGGCGAGCTTAAGCTTAAGTTTGGACCCTTCATCAATGAGTTAATTAATTAATTACTAGTAACTACACACTAGCTCATCGATGGCCGGTCATTATAATTAATGTCACGCAGGTCTTTGTCTTTGTCTTGTCTCTCGGGTCCCTGCAGGCCACCATCCCCGAGCGCTAATTACCTCGCCTCGCGCCGCCGTCAAGTTGTCCGCGGTGCTCGTCGTTTGTCACGGTCTGCGTCGTTGTCGTTGTCGTTGTCCCGGTCCCCCGGCCGCCGCGCCACCACCGCGACGCGACGCGCCTAACAGCAACTCTAAACCCGCTTGGCGCTCTCGGCCCACCCGCGCTAGCGCGCATGGGGAAGCGGCGGCCCTGCAGAGGGGGGGCCGCGCCCGATTTCATTGATTACAATTACAGATGCACATACATACAACACACGCATATGTGAGAAGAAAGCGACGAACGCGGCCGGCTGGGGGGGCACGCCGCGCCTGCTCGTGGCGTGGGGTGCGCCGGTCCGGGCCCGGGGCTGGCCACGGCGAGCGGCGGATGCTGCGAAAAGAGACTTGGGGGCTAGTGGTGCGACTGAGGCGATGGCGAGTCCATGCCCGCCCGGAGCACAGGGGGCCGTGCATACAGCCGTGGCCATGACGGGCGGTAATTAATGCATTACCGCGCTGCGCACGGACCCTGCGGGACATTAAGTGTCTAATCTTCGACAGGGTCTGCACCCGGCGTCCGATAAGCATGGCCGGATCGGGAGCGCGGGAGCGGCGGGTGGGGGGGTGGGGAAGCACTGGGACGGGAGGAAAGTGCAGGAAGCACGGGGGCACAGCACCGATAAGATGCGTCCGCGGGCGGGTATGTGGAGATGAATGGGATGACGCTTGATTGCTGGCTCTGAATGGAATTGGAATGGGAGGTGGTGGAGAGGCGGCGAGTTGAGTTAGCGCTGCGATTGTAATGGCGTTGCGGATGCGCCCGTTATCTACCCGAGATGATGCTGATTCTGATGCAGCCAACTTCAATGACAATGTCAGTGCCAGTGGGGCAGGGCAGGCGTCAGCTTGGGAACTTGAAGGGCTTCCACGACGACCGAGGACGCGGGCGGCTTCTGTGTTTCACCCCCGCTGCCGGTGCTGTTTTAGCGCGACTGAATGGCGGGAGAAGGGCGCTGCTGTGGCCGTCGCCACCGTGATTCTGATATCGATGCAGCCTGCTATGGGAATGAGAGAACAGAAACGCGCCACACGACATACATATCCAGCGCTCCCCAGGCCATTGAAAGCCAATCGCGGGCGAGGCAGGACGGTTGACAGCCTGCCGCGAGTGCGACGGATGCGGGGACAGCACCACTTACAGCCTAGAGCGTGGATCTATCCATCCATCCGAATCACGATCGTGCCCGGACCACTCATCTGCCCCTGCCCTTCCCCGCTGGGCCCCCTCAGCCCGCACGCCGCGAGCCCGCAGGCTGTGCCTGCCAATCACGCGGACGGCGTTGCCTCGAGGCGGGCCCGTGGCAGATGCGGAGACGCGGCGAACACTGGCAGCGCGTGACGCAATTATGCGCGCGGCGATTCGCCACGGACGTGTTTCGTCTCCGGTTGGCAGCCCTTCAGTCGGCTTGCCGAATCGGGAAACGGCGCTCCCAGGCGCGGCCGGCCCATCGCTGAACCTTATATGTGCAGACAAAGAGCCAGTCAGCCGCGATGCACGGCAACAGCTTTGTGACGCACCGTATGCGTGGCGCCACAGCGTCAGTGACAGTGACACGCGCGATTGGAGGTGGCCAACGCCCGGCGCCGTATAAGGCAATTCGTGTTCTTCGAGCCCGCGGAGCCCGGCGCCCGCCCGCCCGGTAGCGATCGCGCTATTTATATTTAGACCGTGCGTAATTGAGGCAGCGAGCATTCATCCCGCGGCAGCTAGTTGGGAGGCCAGGCGTCCTCCCGATGGAGCGGATGCATGGAATTCTGAAAACGTCGTCGTGGGGCAGACAGGCGGGTGTCCGAATCGGGCATGCGCGTCCTCGGAAGGGAAGCAGCTTTGGCTTCTGGCAACGCCAGTCAGAACGGGAAGTGCGCTCGCCGCGGCGGACGGTGTTTGGCCGGATGGAAGCGGTCATGGCTGATCGGGTCTTTTGATTTCCTGCTAGCTATAGAGGGCTGGCAGTTGATGACGTTGCTGGGCTGTCGTTGTGTGCGCGAAGGGTAATGGCAGCGTCAGAAGAGGCCAGGAACCCCATCAGCGTTCCTAACTCGATCGAAAGACGCGAACATGGGAAGCGGTTTTACGTGTGGGCGCAGGGTTCGCTGTCAGGCTATATCCAGCAAAGCAGAGGGCATCGTTGGTGATTGGAGCGGGAACGTCGCTGCTAGTAAGGTCTTTGGAACGCGTCGCGCGGCAGAATTGAAAAATTAATTCTTCGGCAGCGCATCATGCATTACTTACCCTGAGTCGGCAACTTTGGATTTGTCGATACGGGAGACTGTCCATCTCCAAGTTGTCGGCTGGCGCTGCCGCCTGAGGTCGAGTTGCTGGAACTTGAACTAGCTGCTAGGAATACCGAGAGAAGCGAACATGCTCGGCAGCGTTCCGTAGCCCGCCGCCTCTGATCAAGCTAGCACTTTCCGAGATGAGTAGTGCGGTCCGAGTCTTGTTCCAGCGTTTCTGTTTCCATTGCCAGCTGACAGTCTTCAGAAAGCCCATGGCCATGCATTGACTGCTATTCGGCAGCCTGAGAATCCGCCACGGGACGGTCGGGACGAGATACCTGGGGCCCCTTGTGGCGAGTGATGGATCGGGCTTTCGCAGACAACAGCGTCACTGACTGTCAACCGCATTCGTTCCATGAAGCCGGGCTTTATCCTTCTCTGACGACGACCCATACGGACCGCGACCATTGCATGTCCGCGCGGCAGACGTGGAAAGACAAGGGCAGAGTCCCGAAGCGTCTATCGTAGCGCCGGTCCCACTCAGGCCACCAGTGGACCGCAGTCGGCAGAGTGCACACGCAAAACTCGGTGCGGCGGAGTTCGGTCGACAGTCTGGCAATCAAGCCTTGCAGTCGGGAGAGCACTAGTACGCCAGCAGAGGATGGCGACGAGCAGAACGGGCCACGCGCAAACGGGCCCATCGTGGGGCGGAGGAAAACTTTGACAGCGATGACTAATCGCCATGACGTGATCGCGGGCTTGGATCGATACCGCCATGGTCGCAGGAAAACGCTCGCCTTGTGCGGTCACGGTGGGGCTTGGTGCTGCCCCGCTTCGGATCGGCGAGTGCTGGTTCGCCTTGGAGACTCGGAGCCTCTGCATGTGGCTGTTTTGCCCGCCCGAACTCTGCGCACTGGTCAACTCATGACATTCTCATGCTCCGAGTCGCTGGACAGAAAGGGATGCTTGACTCGCCAGCACAAGCGGCGCAGCCTCTCTTAGACCTTATGGAACTCTTCCCCCAACCCCCGAACCAGTCGTGGGACGAGATGCGTCTCCGATACATAGTAGGTCTCGCGAAAAAATCTGCTGGGCTTGCAGGTGAGAATTATCGACAGCCTAGTCTCTATATCTGACCCGCTGCAGACCGACGATGCGCGTTAAGTCATTGCGCACGCGGGTAGCCTGCCTCTCAACCTCTTCCGACTGGGACCCAATTACAATCAGGCATTCAACCTACGACACCACTTAATGCCAACTTGAAAAGTTCGCCGTGTCCCGCCACACCAGTACGAATCTGCTTCGAAGGTTCGAATCTGCCGCCGGGGCCTGTCACTTGCCATCCCTGCTGGAAGTCAAAATTGAGCTTTGGGCTTGAACTGTGTTATTCTCGACGCAATCTGCCGCTATCGTTCATTCCCGGGCCCTCTTTTCTGCCGACATTCTTCTCTACTAGGGCCTCCATGTGGCCTATCGAGGAGGACGCCTCTGTATTGCAGCTCGAACCGAATTTCAAGTTGAAATTTATTCCGATCTGCCAGTGTCTTGCTAGCCTCGACGAAATAGTTCTCAAGAACAAGTGCATAGCCGTTCTTACTTAAATATACTTGTCTTTTGTTGTCAATCAATGCAGTCGAGTGCACACAGGCATCACTACGTCCACCGGCCACTGGCACCACAAATCAATCTCATTCGCCACCTCCCTGGACTTCAGCGGCTAGATCTTGTTCACGGTTCACCGGAGGCCACTGATAAGGTTCAAAATGTATGCATGCTCCTCCCTGTCCTTCAGGCTTCCTAACGCCCTCTGAGCACCAGTCGCACTGCACCCGCCGGATATGGGCTGACACCTACCCGCGGCTCGGCGAACGCCTGGGCCCGACCGTGACGCGGCCCGGCCCGGGCCCGGCGTCGCCGATGCGACCGAGGCTTGGAGTCATGCGCATACGTCATGGTGACCAGTATCCACCCTTGAGCCCATGCGAGCTGGACGAAAGCGGCAGGCGCCACCGCGCATGATAATCCCCTCCGCCGCTGGCAGTCGCGCGTCGCCGGACCCGGATAGATCCCATCCGCCGAGATCAGTGATTTTGATTCTCCAACTTATTCTCGTCGACGTCGACGTCACGTTTGAATTCAACTCTTGCTTCCGCTCCACGACCTGCGTAGTACCGCCAGCACCAACGCCGACTCCAGCCCCACTGACGCCGATGTATGCCTCGCGTTTTCCGGCGCCGACGTGAACATGGCGCGGGCCCCGCCGGCGGATGGATAAGAATTGCGTGGCCAGCATGGCCCACTCTTCGATTCTCCAAAAACTCCAAGTATGCAGCGACCGTGACCGCTCCAACACTCCACTGTCAAGCTACACCAGGCCCCCTGCGTATACGCTAAGATGTCCGATACAGAATCACGAATTTTGGCCATTTTACGCATCACTGATTTTGCCCAGATCTGTCCGCATAAGTATCGGGTACCCTCTTTTTCGCCCAAATCTGTCCGCATAGTGCATCGAACTTCCGGATACATTGAAGGTATCCGCATAAAGTTATCGGGGTCCAAGAACAGCAAGATATATCCGCATTATGTATCGTACTAGGCTACAGCTATGATTGGGGGAGCTAACATATGTTGTTCAGCTGCCCCGGTACTCTCGTCAAGACTCAAGAATTGGTTCAACCAAGAGATCCTCCATCTCTTCATCGCTCTCCGAGTTCACCTCAACAGCATTCATGACTGTTTTCACCACGACAGGCCGCTTCTTCCACACCAACTCCTTTGTTGTCTCCAATGCGCGGGCAAGTGATGTTGTTTCAACGAAGAAACGACTGCACGAACGATGCCAACTCGTCCGAAAAGGATACAATGGCACTTGGATAACCGTTTGCATCTAACCAGTTTTGATGAATTATGTTTGGCGCATGCGAGGCAAGGGAAAACACTATGTGAGTGCGGGGAATCTGGAGGATGGTCGGTGAAGCAAGTGCCGAGCATGTAATTGATGTCAACAAGTTAAAGTTGCCGAGAGCCTTATACGTCTTGACGTAGATGTAAGATGGCTCGCCGACGCTGTCGACTCTCCTGATCCATTCATGAAATGTTGTCTTCTCGTACATTGTCAGAACTAGGGGCAAGATATCAGGCCAAGTCAGCAACAAACCGATAAATCTGACCTTCCCCGATAATGATCCCCCGACAATGAGGATGGAATGCGATGATGAAATGGCCAGCGGTGAGAGGGTTGTACGATGTGATATTTGCATTGTGCATATTCTCGTGAAGGTGCTGGTGGTTGCGGAGTGCTTCTGTCCGGATTCGCAGGTAATTCTGTGTGAAAGTTAGAATTTTGCACTGCCAATCATATAGGCATACCGCGGCAGCAACATTCTTGACTGTTGCCTTGTTTGCTGCCCGGCGTCCGCCGTCCTTTATATCGACGGTACCAGAATGCCGCAGTTGTCGTCCAGCACCTGTTGTCTGGCGTACAACACCGGCATTAGGAACGAACACGGCGAGTTTCTCAATGAGACGTTCTCTTAATGATGGGGCTTTGTCGGTTGGTGCATCTGTACCTGAAAGTACGGTTGATATTCGACCATGTTGGCGAACAGATTTGGCTGCAAATGTAGTCTGGTGGCGGAGTCTCTCTACGACCAAAGCTGGATAATTAGGGGTTGTATGGATAATAAAATTGTGCGGCTCGTCAATTGACAAGACTGGTGATGACTCGGAGCGTGTTTCTGAGATGCTGTTCTGGGTGATAGCTTCTAGAGTTGCCTCTATTTCGGCACGTAGTTGATCTAAGGTCTCTTCTGGGGAATCGGGGAGAGCAGCACTGGAACAATGAGAAAGAGCATAGCGATATGATGACAGGGCAAAACATACATAGCATGAGTTTTGTCAATGGATTCTGCAACCAACGCAAGTTTGAACGTGTTTGCAGCTTGCTCGGCTTTCAGCCGTCATACCAACCGGGTTGGGGGAGTCATACAGGTAGGACAACGCTACCAATGTCTGAGGGGGTCGTGAAACAAAGGTAGGTCGTGTCGGAGTGGTTGGGGCAACATAGCGTGTCAACATAGAATGTCCATCAATCCCGAGCAGCTTGAGTAGTTGCATAGCTTCCAACAATCCATTATGTGAATCGAGTTGCATTTCAACGTCAGTTGGCCACGACATCAGGCATGTCAAGTCGAGACCATCGGTGTCGAGGTAAGAATGGAGATAACCGGACGAAGATAGATTTGATTTCTGCTCGGCGGTTAAGCCGTCAATAGCGCCCATTTGAAGGGATCGAAGCTTTGCGTTCAAGATGCAACACATCGATGTATGCAAAGTCAATCTTGAGTTGTCGAAGAAGCCCAAAGTAGTGCTCGCAAGGCTCGGTTGAGTGGAACCATGGGAGTAATGGAAATAAAGGAAAGAATTTTCGATGAACCACGATAAGCATGATAAGACTGTCAGAAAGAGTTATGAAGATATCATAGGATTGCCGAGAAATGAAATGGGTGTCAAGGGAATGGTCAGGATGAGCAAGTATATGGGTGCGCCAGGCCATGAGAAAGAAACGGGCTCGTAATACCATCTTGACGCGCTCACGATGGGAAATACTCCGGTTTTGCCAGGCATCTACAAGTTCGCCTAAAACAAAGAGATATATCGCAAGACCATGGCGACCATTGTAGTGGGTTGTGAGAAATTCGAGGGTTTGAGCACTGAAAAGTCGAGCGGCTGCACGATCGTCCTGCTTATCTAAACCCTTGGCGTCTCGTGATTGCAGTGGCGAGGCGGGATTTTCGGCAACTTCTCGAATCATGGCATAATGTGCTGTATAGTGACCAAGAGTTGGCATTCGTGCTCCGGTATGAAGTTGATTCCGAGCAGTTTTTGCTGCATGCTTTGAGTCTTGGGTAATAACAAGAGGATGAGAACCATAGGCGATTGGCAGCTTGTACTCGATACTGCAGTTTGGTGCGTTGTTGGGAATACAGAAGAATAGATGATCGGAAGTAGAGTTGGCGATAATCCGTTGGACAGACCGTTCAGTGTCCGCACCATCAGCAGAGAGCGACATGGGATGAACATCGTGTTGATGAAGAAGGTCAAGGACCTCTTGGTGCATAGCGGCCAATCTCTCGGATGTTACTGAGGAGCCACGAGCAACTGCAGCAACGACAATTGGTGGGACCTTTGGCATAGGAATGCTCAAGAGCCAGAGACGAAGCTACCAAAAGTCAGGTATGGTGGGTAAAATATCAGAATGAACCCGCCTTGTCAGCTTTATGGAGTTGGGCAGACCGCATAACAGCATCTAGGTCGTCTTTCTCTCCAACACGGATAGGCCCCTCGGTTGATCCAAGAATTAAACAAGTATCGATCGTCTCTTGGTAGATGGAGATGGCTGGCTCAAGTGCAGTATCGTCGCACGATAGAGCCAACGGACCAGCATAACCAAGCTTGAAGAGAATGTCAACAATACGCCAGATGTTGGCGCCAACAATGCCAGGCGCAAATTGAGGAAGTTTAGAACGGACATCCCTATAGGAATGTCAGTACTAGTGAGAGTGAAATAATGCAGTAATACCGGATACTTCGCATCCCGCGGCCACCAAATGTTCTTCGGAAGGTCTCATATGATTGGGGCGACATTGACGCGAGTAAATCACAGAATTGGTCAAACTCGGGTGGATATTTCATGTTCTTGAGTGATTTCCCGGCATGTATTCGGTTCTGTTTTACCACCATAGCTTTGATCATCCCTGGAAGGACATTCGAACTATACGAGCCATCAAGACAACCTTGAGCAAACTTCAAAAAATAGGAACGGCCATCTTTCTGCACAGCCAAATCAGTAAGCTGGAAATCTTTCAAGCGAAGGAACTCACGTGTTCCATAAGCTCCCGAAGCCCATGATACTTCAGATATAACTCGCCAAGTTCTAGATTGCGATATGCTTTTGGCACATGTTTCATTGCCTCCTCCTTCGGCATTGGTCGGTTAATCCCAACCTGGAACGACCGAAGCTTCCACAGCTTTTGGCACTCGCTACATGGTAATGGGATATCATCGTCTCGCACTGGGACATCCCGTAAGCAAGCCGCAGAGAACACAGCACCGAGTGAGTGGACATTCTTCCATTGTTGAAGCATTATTTCACGTCGCAAGACCATGCGCTGCTGCTCTTTGTTAAGCGCAATCCAACGGTCTTCAAACAAATCAAGGGAAATTCGTTGGCGAGATGGGGCACCACCACCAGGAACAGAGGTGCGCAGGAGATAACGCGCAATCTTCTCATTAGACTCGCGGGTTAGACCTGGACAAGGTCGGGGTCGCAGCGGCAGTGATGGTGGTGCAGTATGCAGAGGCTGCCGTTGCTTGGCCGTAAAGCCAAACGACAGAAGAGACTTGGTCTTGAGCTGACTTCTCTGGTTTTTCTGGCAGATAGCTGATGCTCGATGTTGTCGCCATTGTCGCACATCGTATAGAGCTCGCATCTGAATCCATCGAGCACACTGTGAACAGCGAACACTACACAGATCGTCATCCTTGAACTCTGCGGTCGAATCATCTGCTTGAATTTCCGCTCGAAAGTTGGCAAGACGGGCTGCATTGGCGACAAATTCTGAATGGTCCGAGTGGGCTTTGAGACGTTTCTGTTTCTCCCATGAGGATCCAACACGAGGAGCAGAGCGTCGATATGGCTCAAATTCGTGGGCCGGAGCATCATCATTGTTGTCATACTGTATCGAAACACCAACATCAAAGAAAGCGTCGTTACTATCATCAATAGTAAGAAGGGGAGAGGAATGGTCTTCAGAGGCAGCATCGATGATATTGAACGATGAATCAGATGATTGGTTTGGCGTAGTGGGGGCGTGAGGATGGCCACGAGCATGAAGTGATAGATTCAGCTGGAGTTGATGGTTGAAGTGGAGACGAGCTTCAAATCGCTATGGCTAATTTCAACATAATTTTCCTAATGAGATGCGTTAGTTGAGTATATAAGAATGTAAGTACCCGTACCTCAATTTCTTCATGGTCGGAAAAACGATCCGCCAGTCGGACAAACCATAGTAAACGATGCCGGACCGCATGTTCAGCAGACCAATTATCTTCATTGAGAAGTATATGGGCAAGAAGTGATAGAACGACAACACCGCAAGAGTGACTATCATTCTGCTTGGGTGATGGGAAGTTAGGCTTGACGACTGAGAAGGGCGGACAATTGGGAATGAGTGACGTCAACCACCACCGGACTGTATTCAGTTCGTTGGTTGGTATAGCAGCATTCGGAAGTGAGTCCGCAACAGAGAGTGTACACGTCCGAAGGTCAATTTTGAGAAGAGACCAATGCGAGTCACGAACATGAAGCGGAAGGAACACTATGCTTGCAGTCCCATCCATAAGAGCTTTGTCGACAAGTGAAAGCCGTTGGGGAGTATAAAAAGGTGCATTGCGATGTGCGACACGTAGCATTTGGAGGAATAAACAGTTTTGCAGATAGACAGTTTTTTGGCTGAGGTAGGCAACCATCGATATACGCAGCACCGGCATTGATCATTTCATCATCAAGCCATTCACTGCTCAAGAACCCAATGAGATCTTGTGTTGTGAAATTCCCGGTACGACTGAGATCGGGCACTGGACCATCCCACGGCATGAATTCCAAGATATCCTCACAGGATTGGACAAGGTCACGACAATTTGTTGGGGCAGCTTCGAGAAATGCTTTTGCGGCTTGCAGACGGCGATGCTTAGTCACAAAGCTGTCGTATACTGCAAGAAGGTTCTCGGTCCACAGTGGGAATGACTGACGAGGAAAGTCGGGAAGAGATATGGAAAGTGCGCCAGACAACCATGCATTATTGAACTTGGCACGTAATTCCGGCAGTAAATCCAGTGAGGCAGCAAGTACATCACGAGTCGGTTCAGCAGTAGGAGGATGGGTAGTGAATGTAGCAAAGCGGTCTGATGAGGAATAGTGTCGTGGCGAGCAAGGCATTGCGATTATTTGCGCAGCCGGAGTCGATGGTGGGGGCACAATTGAAGTGATGATACGACTTGGGACGTTGCGAGCACTGTCCCGTGCCTTTCGGACCTCCATTGGCATTTTCTCGTTCCATATCTTGCCCAAACCAATCCATTCAGCGGGCAAAAAAGATGCGAGATCTTCGCCATCGTCCGAATTCACATCAATTACGCCAGCATCCGAGTAGTGAGGGGAATGTGGGTTGGGGGCCTCGGGGCCACCACCTGCACAACGAGAGTGACCAAGAGGGATATTTCGGGGTGTCTGAAGTATTCCGGACCATGGAATATGTGTCGAAGTCAGTTTTGCAAAGGACTCGAGGCGTGTGCATTTGTAGGCTGCGTCGAAAGAAAAGGGGACAGTGTTTGAAGACCATGAGCTGGGTGAATAAAGTAAGTAAGCAACGATGTTTAAGATAGCTGATGAACGTACAACGTGAAGACTTGTTGTGGTATTGACTGGGTGTAGTGCCGAGAAGTAAGGAGCTGGCATAGAACCAGTCGCTCTTGAGGATTATAGATACCGTATTGGTGCATTCGGTCTCGTCGAAGATGTACTATATGTGTGCGGCTGTAGCGCACCGACAACCCATAATTGGACAGTGCAGAGTAGTAAGCTGAGAACGATATAAGAATGTGCCATAAAAAAGGGCCGCAAAAGAAGCTTACAAATAGTCCAGACGACGGTGAGGATTTCGGCACAGAGGATACTCGCTGCAGCGGCAATTGTAGACGGCTGGACTTGTGTCTCCCTCGCCAGGCATTTCAGAGTAGATACAGTGCTCTCCTGGGAGAAGAGAGCGGTTATGGAAATGATTATGGCCGTAAAAACAAGGAGTGGTCGTTCATATGACCGGGCAAAGGAATGTCGTGAAGGTGGTCGAAGGAAAGTCGGTGAAAGTGGTTTATGCATGTGTCGGTCTGTAGTGACAGTCAATGGCAAGCTGAGAGAACCATGAAATACAGCACCTTTCTTGCGCATGCTTAGCTTGAGGAGAGGTGTTCGTGGTATGGTAGTGCTGGAAGGAGAGAAAGCGGTTGTGTTGTGTGCTGTTGTGTGTCGCGAAACTATATATCGGCCGGCCATTTCTCGCGTACTCAAGTATCCTCTTTGGGCTAAGTTGATTATCTCGACTTCTGGACAAGAGAACAGGGTCTTACTTTGAGAGCCGAGAGGTTTACTCTTTCGTGTTCGAGGTCGTGAGAGAATAGCGTAAATCAAATGGTTTTTGAGGTTTGAGTTGCATGATATAAAGATGTAAAGAGGTCGAAAAGTCGATATCGGAGAGATATTTGAGCGGAAGAGGGAACTTGGATGGCCAACAAGCAATAGTCGAGACAAGGCCGTGACGCTGAGTTCATATTCTATACCCAGCACATTCCACGCTATCCGCTACAAGTTCGGGGCGATCCAGCCGCCGCCCGATTTCCGTGAGCGCGTGAGCTGGTTCGAGCGAGAGCCAAGGCGAATGCTTGTTCGAGTAAACAGGGTGTGACGTTTTCGTCACGCCAAAATGCCGGACCAGATGCCGACTTGTGAATCGGACATTCGCTCTGACTGCCCAGTTTAGCCATCATGTGATATCGGACACAACTCAGGAAAGGACCACTTCTAACCGCACAATTATCGGACACAAAGGCCTTTTTGGGGCCATTTCTATCCGCATAAATATCGGACCCTTAGGCGCATACGCAGGGGGCCTGCTACACCGTGACCGTGACGCTGCTTCGCGGCCTCAGGCGTGGAGTCCAATTCGAGTCCCCGGCGATGCGAACTCGACTGGATACTTCAATACCGTTGCAGCGAGCGCTCCATGCGGCCCCACTGGCACGGGGGTGGAGCTGGTCACGCGACGACGCTGCTCCACGCGACATTGACACGAGCAGCGACCGTGCACCAGCCCCCGCGGGATCGAAAGACACCGAACGTGCCAGCGGGAGCTCGACCGTGGGTCCTTTCCGCTTCGCACTCCGCCGTGACGCGCATCTCGCGCATGTCCCTAGTCCATCGCGGCAATCCGCCACCACTCGGCACCCGACGCGACTCCCCGCTCCGCGATGGCGAACAGCGCTGCACCGCACGCGCCCACGCCACCGGGCCGCCCAACGCCATCGCCATCGCCAACGCCGATTGTATTAGGAATCAATTTACTGCAAATTTGCAATCAC